ATGATGAAAGGATGAATATCAATAAAAAAGTAGGATGAACAAGTGTTAAGATTTCAAGTTATGGCCGTGGTGGTATCAACAATCGAGGTATGGTACGTGGTGGCTTTCGTAGCCGTGGCAGAGGAAGAATGAGAAGATAACAGATCTAATGTTACAAGTGCCACAAGATAGGACATTATCAAAGTGAGTGTCCAAGTTGGCAAGAGAATGATGCCAACTTTGTTGAATTTGATGAAACTGAAGATTTGTTACTCATGGCTCAGAAGGAATACACAAAAACCAACAATCAAGTGTGGTTTCTTGACTCAGGATGCAATAATCATATGGTTAGAACAAAAGAATGTTTGTTCAACTTTGATGAAACATTTTGTGAATCTGTCAAGTTAGTGGGTGATTCCAAGATGCAAGTGATAGGATAGAGAAATTTGAAGATTCACATGAATGGCATCACTCAAGTAATCACTGATATGTACTACTTGTCAGGCTTGAAGAATAACCTTCTAAGTGTTGGTCAACTAATGCAAAAGGAACTAACAATAGTGTTTAAAGATGTAGGTTGAAAAGCACATAATGTTAATAGATGATTGATCATGATCACAAAGATCTCATCCAACAAAGTGTTTTTTGTGTATGCACGTGTTGTTCTTTCCATGTGCATGGAAATTGTTTCAGATAATGTCACACACCTGTGGCATTGCATATATGACCATCTGAGCTTTAAAGGCATTTACACACTCATCAAGAATGGGATGGTGAAGGGAATCTCTAATTTGAAGGACATGGAGGATACTTGTTAAAATTGCTTGACGGGAAAGCAACATAGAAAAGCCATACAAAAGCAAGCCACATGGAGAGCCTAAGAAAAGCTTGAGTTTATCCACTCTGATGTGTGTGGACCTATCAGCCCTGCATTAAATGAGGGAGCAAATATTTCATTACATTCACATATGACTTAGTATATAGATTTACTTTGTGCATGAAAAAGTTGTTAATTTTGATGTTTTCAAACAATTTAAAGTCTTAGTAGAAAACGACTCAGGCCTCTACATCAAATGTCTTAGGACAGATAGAGGATGAGAGTTTACTTCAAATTCTTTTTGCGATTTCTGCAGTCTTCATGGCATCAAGAGGAAATCGACAACTTCCTATACTCCAAAAAAAAGGAGTATCAGAGAGAAAGAATGTGACTCTGATGAATGTGATCAGAAACATGACAACAAGTAGAAATGTTCCTTAAAACTTTTGGCCTAGAGTAGATAAATGGGCAGCATATGTAATCAATAGAAGTCCAACATTATCTTTGAACAACATGACTCCAAAAGAGGCATGAAGTGATGTAAAGCCCTTAGTGCAACACTTCAAGGTGTTTGGGTGCATATCTCTTATATACACATTCTTGATGTGCATATAAATAAGCTAGATGACAAGAGTACAAAGTGTGTTCTCCTGGGATTTAATGAATAATCAAAGGCTTACAAGCTCTATGATCCTGTTAATAGCAAGATCCTAATCAATAAGGATGTGGATTTTGAAGAACCAGAAAGTTGAGAATGGAACAAGAATGACAGAGAAGACAAGACTCAATCAACCAACAATATTGATAGAGAAGAAATATATATATGGAGAATGATGAAGTTGAAGTGATTGATGATGGGGTGCATGTTGAAAATGATGGCTATAAGCATGAGGGAACAATGTAGAAAGTGCAAGTGAGGATAATGCAAATGAAGAAGAAAATAATGCTCAAAGGTAAGAGCGTGCAAAGCCAATTGTGAGGCAAAAAAGAAGGCCAGAGTACTTGAATGACTATGTTACAAACTTAGAAGGAGAGGAAGAAGAAAAGGTACACAACTTAGCAATATTTTGTAGCAACAATGATCTTCTCAATTATGATGAAACAGTCAAGCATGAGAAGTGGGGGAAACTATGGACTTGGAAATTGAAAGTATTGATAAAAATGGTCCTTGGATCTTAGTCAATCTACCACCAAGAGCCAAGAAAGTTGGTTTCAAATGGATATACAAAATAAAACGCATTGAAAAAGGGGAAGTAGAGAAATATAAATCAAGGTTTGTGGCTAAAGGGTACACACAACAACACTGCATAAATTACAATGAAGTTTTTTCTCATGTGGCAAGATGGGATACTATCAGGACTGTCTTAGCACTTGTAACATGTAAGAAGTGGCAGGTATATCAGCTTGATGTCAAGAGTGCACTTCTACATGGTGAGTTTGTGGAAGATATTTATGTAGATCAACCACTTGGCTATTAGAAAGGCAGAAGATAAAAGGTCTTCAAGCTAAGAAGGCATTATATGGCCTTAGGCAGGCTCTAAGGGCCTGGTATAGCAAGATTAAAGCATATTTCAATCAAGGATGAAAATGGCAAGCCAGTTGATGCAACAAGCTACAAGAAGATGATGGGAAGCTTGATGTATTTGCTTGCTACTAGGCTTGACCTTGCATAATCAGTATGCTTGCTAGATACATGGAGAGACCAACTCAAATTCACATCGAAACTATAAAAAGAATCTTAAGGTATCTAAATGGAATGATGAACTTGAGAGTTTTGTACAAGATGAATGATGAGATGGTTTGCAAGGGTGGGCTGACTCTGATTATGCAGAAGATAGTGATGAAAGAAAAAGTACAAGGTATGCATTCAACCTTGGATCAAGTCCTATATCATGGTATTCAAAGAGCAACCCATTGTGACTCTTTCAAGAACTGAAGTTGAGTTTGTTGCAGCAGTCTCATGTGCTTGTCAAGCAGTGTTGCTTCGAAGCACTGTTCACAAGCTTGGAGAAACTCAAAGCCAAGGTACAATCATCATGTGTGACAACAGTTCCACAATCAAGTTATCAAAGGACCCGTGATGCATGAAAGATGCAAGCCCATAGATGTAAGGTTTCACTTTCTTAGGGACTTGACCAAAGATGGTACAATTGAGATGAAGCATTGCAGCACAGGAGAGCAACTTGCAATTGTGCTAACTAAACTAGTGAAGCTTAAGTCTTTCAACTACACTAGAACAAAAATTGGAGTTCGTGTCATTTTGAGTCTTGTTGACAATGTGCATAAATCTAATGTATGTATCATGTTGTAATCGGTCTCTTTTGCTAGTTTCATATTAGAGGAACGTATATTAGAATATAATTGACTAATAGAATAACTAACTAGAAATTAGTTATGAGGTTAGTTATGAGTGTGGTTCATTACTATATAATCAATTGATCATTCATGTAAACAACATTTTAAATTTTCATTTTTCAATAACAATTTTCTCTGGCATTCTAACAATAAAGACTTAATGCTTAATCAAACCATTCCTTAATTAAGCCATGCATGAATAATTGACCAATAAATTTACACATTATATCTTCAGTTTTTCATAACCTGATTCAATTCCAACTTAACCAAGATCACGCTCACCAATATGAAATTTTGAGCAGTTGAAAACACGCCAGTTTATTTAAAATTAAAGTTACTATTAAATAAAATAATTTAACGATTTTTTTTAGATAAATATAAATAAAATTTCCTATTTAATCTTTTCGCCTATCGACCATAATACTTAGTAAGATTAATCTTTTTATAAGTTATCAGAGAAAAACCTGTCATTTTAATTTATTTCTTAGTTTAAATTATTTGTTTTTATCAAATCTGTAATAAACAGACTAAATTATTAATTAATCTCAAAATATGTTAAACACCGTCAAATTTAAGTAGATATTCAATAATTTAATAACTGAAACATCCAATCCAATAATAGAGTCATTCAATAAGAGCAACTTTAGTGCAGGGTTGTTAAACCAAAATTCTTTATAGCTTACGTTAGTAATAAGGAATTTGCATTATAGTAGTGCTGACATGGCATATGGGATGCTCTAAAACTAGTTTACGTGCTCTACACAAACAACGTACTCTAACTCATTATTTAACATAAATAATAAATTTTTATTAATTATTTAACATAAATAATAGATTTTTATTAACCATTTAATACCATGTGGGGTCAAGTTTTGGTTTCTTATAGACAACCACCATTAAAGTAAAAACTACTCAAATCAACTATAAATTTTTTAAATCCTACAAATCACTTTGGTCCCACAAAAAGTATCTTAGTTTACCCCCACTAAAGATGCTCTAAATGAATATCCAATTCATGCATTCAATTTTGCGAAAAGATTTTAAAAAGAAAGAAAATGCACCAGCCGGGAATCGAACCCGGGTCTGTACCGTGGCAGGGTACTATTCTACCACTAGACCACTGGTGCTTGATGAATACGTGTTTCTCATTGTTTGAGAATACTACATATTTAACGATACCTGCAAATTTATTTGGAAGTACAGGTAAAAAACTGTTTTTTTCTCCCACTAGATATGTATTTTTGGACCAAAAAATGGTGTATAATATTTTCATTCCAAAGTGCATTTTGAGAATCATCTAAAGATTTTTAAAAAAGTGAGAAATACGTATTGATTGTGAGCCCTTGAAATCATTACTCAATAATGTTACCGGTGCACCTGATTTCAACATATATGTCCAGAGAATTAAAACCGTTTATAGAGCTCAATAGTGTTACATTGATTGTGTGAAATGTCTTTATTACTAAGTTATTAGATGTTTCTACATATTCATTGGATGGTTGTTGACAGAACTTCAAAAAATTAAAACCGTTTATAGAGCTTGATTAATGTTCTTGAAGAATTTTTATGAGGGTAGATAGACTCTTGAAGCAGTTGGCAGAGACTCTAATAACTAGCTCCATTTAATTGCATTGGTTGTTGATGATTATGTCTATGGTTGAAACATCAATAGTAAGAAAAAGATAAATTTGTTGTTATAGAGCCTGAAATTTACATGATATATTACAGTAAAGAGTGAATGCACTCCCTCTTGCTACTTGTTTGTTTCTCTCAAGTGTTTCTTGAGAGGTAAATAAATGTTATCATAGAAATAACATATGTATGCAGCTGACGAAACAGAAATTTTCGACTACTTTCTCTGTGCACGGACTTTCTCACCTCTCGCTCGTCTTGAAAACTCTTGGATCTTACGATCGTGGTCTTTCAGCATCTGATCCATGTTGTTTGAAGAAGCAAGTAACGGACCTGACATGTATATCTTGTTTCCACTCGATCCATGTCCATCCTGAAATAGAACCCCAAATCGGTAATCAGATATTCAGGCAAAACTCGTTTTAGAATAGAAAAACAAGAAAGAAATAATAACTAACCGGAGTTGATTTTTCGGTTGGGACTCTTCTATTTACAATTTGACCGTGATCAACATTCCGTTTTTTATCACGCCTTCTTCTTGACTCGGACCCGCTAGTTGCCTCGAGGGACTTTCTTACTTCGATTGGTTTTCTGTTGGGAAACGGAACTGGCTTTGGCTCCTGATCTTCAGACGATAAAGTTCTAGATGCTACTAGCCCGGATAGTTTTGATAGGTTCACTCTGTTTGAAACAGTAGGCCCGTTATCAACTTCTTTCGTGCCCCTTGCCCAGCCGGAACCGGGAGCCAACGGGCCTGAATGTGAAGGTCTCTTATAAAAATGACCGGATGCGTTATTATCCATTTCTCTAGCATCGTCTGATTGTTTGTGTGGGAAACCTGCAATCCCAGATACCTGTTCTCTATGCGGATAGGACAATTCGCCTCGGTTCTTTGAGAAGGAGTGGTGTTTCTGCTGCTTCAGATAACAAAGTGAGAAAGGAAAGGGATAAAATTAAGGCAGTAGAAAAAAGCACAGGTGAAAAGTTACCTGTACTGATGCGCCCATGTCGGCATTGTCTTTTGTTGAGACAACGGCCCTAGGTGCTTTTTCTTGTCTAACCGATGAGCCAACTTTTTGTTCCCTATCTCCAACCGTTCCTTGCCTAAGATTATGAAATTTTTTTGATACATATCAGTCATCTTATAGAAATAGGCCTATATACCATAGTTTCTTTTTGGCTCTACTTATAAAAAATAAGCTAAATCAGGTACCTTCTGGATGCTTCGTCTCGCATTTTAGCATCAATCTCTTTGCTAGGAGGATATTTTGGTAAACTTGATGGATCACAAGGCAAAGGTTCTGATGTGAAGAACTGTCAAAAGAAAATGAGAAAAGTTCAAAATGCAGAATCAAGAGTATTACTGATTTTAACGGCAGAAAATCTACACCAACAAGATTACACTGGAGAAGGTCGTCACTTAATCTTAATCAGGTTATATAATTACTTGTTGGAAGTTTAAACCAAAACCAGCATACCTCACTTTTCAGAGCAGCTGCTGCTGTCCCTCGATTTGACGGATCTACCGATAGTAGGGTCTCTATAAGCTTAAGGGCAGTTGATGAGTATTCCTTAAACGTATCTGTAACGCATCGCCTATAATGGTGTGGAGGCTTGAATACTGTTGAATTTGGCAACCGTAACTTAAGCCAATAGTCCTCAGACGGTGAGCCGCAAAGTTTAAAAATCCGATGCAACTGCTCAACCTACAAGAAACTAAAACCAATTTTTAGATACCTCATACATTCATTAACCTACAATGCTAGTATTAGTATATCACTTTTATAGTTAGAAAGTGATGCAAAGTAGATTCATAAACATCATACCTCGGTTTTTCCTGGCAAAATGGGCCGGCCCGTATACAGCTCCCCCAGAATGCAACCAGTGCTCCATAAATCCACTGCAACCCCATAATGATTTGCTCCGAGTAAAAGTTCGGGCGGTCTGTACCACAGTGTTACAACGCGGCTTGTCAATGGAATATTGTGATGGGAGTCAAAAACATTTGCCAAACCAAAATCGGCAATCTTTAAAACACCATTGTTGTCAATGAGAAGATTTGACCCCTTTATATCACGATGAAGGACACCATGACTATGACAATGATCCAGTCCACTAAGAAGTTGACGCATGTAGCATTTCAGCTGTCATAAAAAAAATGTTTTAGGAGTTTTTGTATAAAAGTTTTCTTAAAGGGTGAAAATTGTCCAAGTCGCACAATGATTAATTTGGCCATATCTAAAGTTCTCATCAGAGAAAATCGAATGAAGCATTACTACCTGTGGTTCGGAGAATTTGATGGTAGGATTTGCTGCAAGTCCTGTTAAGTCATGTTCCATATACTCAAAAACAAGGTACAAACTACGAGATGTTTCCGAGGTTATCAAACCCTCCAGTTTTATTATGTTTGGATGGTCGAGCCTACGCAGAATATGTATCTCCCTTGCCATAAACTTGACACTCTCGGGATCAAGATTATCAAACCGCACCCTCTTCAACGCAACAATCTTCTGATTAGTTACATCACGAGCCTTATAAACCGTACTATAAGTTCCTTGTCCAATCTGCACAACAGAATATCATAAAAATTACTCGGCTAAATCAAAAGACTACTATCATATCATCAATCATAAAGAACATCATAGAATTTTCACCAAAAACAGAAAACAACATTAAACCAAATAGAACATAAAAAGCCAGCAACTTACTTTATGTAACCTCTCGAAAGTAGTTGCACTTCGCGGTATCCATCCTTTGATAGCCTCACCAGCAACAGAAGAAAGCCAGGCCGGCCATCCAGCCGCAACTTGTTCGGCTTCTATAGCCTTCGGAACCCTTCCAAATCCAGGATGATCAGTACCAGTCAATTCATGCTTTTCAATTTTCTTCTTCCTCCCATTTTGATCATCATACAACTGCAATGATCCATTCGATTTCACTTTCACATCACCTCCACTTTCAACCCTCTTGGAAGAACTCAATCTCAAAACATTCAACTCTGAAGCTCTTGTGCTACTTGATTGCAGCTTCTTTGAAGTACTTTCATTGCTATCTTCTACAGCTGAACTCTTGGAACATAAGCAACCCATGTTTCAACTATGTAATATCACAATTCCAATTCCAATATTACCCTTCAAGAGCAACAAAATTTCTTCTACTAACCCCACAAAAACTCATGAACATAGTCACACACTAAATAGAACTACAACCACTAGTTTTATTCTCAATCCAAAAGCAAAGATTGGAACTTTTCTACCATGAATCCAATACTTGAAAATCCCAAACTGACCCAATTGTATTCTGAAGCATAAAACTACAAACAAACATGGAATTCAGATCCCAATACTAAAAAAAACATTTTTCCAACGAAGAAAATAAAAAGGCATGAAATTCAAGTTATGGTGGTGAAAATGAGAACCTTATAAAAACATGGAATAAAATTAAAAAAAAATAAAAATAAAAACATAAAAAAGAAAATTACTTGGAAGACCTTAGAATTGGAATGAAAAGAAAAGAGAAAAAAGTGTGATGGAAAATTCAACGCGTATTAAGACATTAAAAAAACATTATCATCAACCAGACAACAACCTTAGACGGCTTATGCCGGCTGGCTCAGTCAAAGGACACCACTTTCTCTCTCTAGTGCAAGATGATGATGATTGTGCAGAGTAATTTTCTCTCTCTTCTTCTACCACGTTCTTCTGTCAAACAAACAACGATTGGTGTTGATTTTGTGTTCAAACCTTCAAAGCTGGTCGTTGAGGTTCTGTTTGGAAGAGTACAAGCATCAACATTAAACGCGTTTTTTTAATATTTTTTAAATATTTTTTAATGCAACTTTTCTACTTTTTTACAACATGATTCTAAGTGACAAAGTAATGGTGTTATTTATTATTAATTAAAATATTTTTTTTTTGTTAGTAGGTTTAAAAAACAGGGGATTCTGTTCTATATATGTATGCTTGCTATATACAATTTTGAATAAAATGAAATTCGGCATATCTTAATCATGCCATAGAATGAAATCAATTTTGAGTTTTCTTAGTGAAATTTGTGAGAGTAAATTAAGAGAAGTACTTGCTAACAACTGTTTTAATTTACATGAGGAACATTAATTATTCTAAAAAAAGGGAACATTAATTATTTTTTCTTTATATAAAGAAGAATAGAAACATTACTTTTATGAGAAAAGGAACATTTATTCGGTGTGTCTTAATCCTCACATATGACGAAGAAATTAACAAGTTTCCTCTTAATATTCAATACTTTTTTTTTTTTTTATTTTATCAACGATATTTTAATGTAATAAAAATGAGGTTAAAAGTGATGCAATGACAGTGTAAAATAATTTTAAACAATTATTTCATAAGAACGTATTGTTTTATCATGTCATATAAATTTTTTAAAAATTACAGTCTAATTTAGCAGAATTCATAATCGTGATTGGTTGACATTGTAAAATTTTTGAAAAGTGCATCGCCTATTTTCTTTTTGAAAATTGATGTTTATTTTAATGTTTTAATTTTATTTTATTATTTTATTTAGTGATATAATTAGTTTTTTTTTAGTTTTTTATTTGTTTTCAAAAAAGTGAGTTAAATATCTTTGTGATTCTCTTAAATATCTCATGATTTTTTTAAATATCTCAATTTCGTTTTTAATCTCTCAAAATATTTTCTTCAAATAATGGTTTTTCTAAAAAATTTCATTCACACTTTTGGTCCATAATACTAAAATTTTTGCTTAAATAGTCGCTAAGTAATAAACCGTCGCTAATTTTGTCACTAAATTGTAAAAACCATCACTAATTTGCAAAAGGGACCAAAAGTGTGGATGAAAAATTATAAAAGGACCATTTTTTGAAAAAAAATATTTTGAGGAAGGAAAATCGAAAATTGAGATATTTAAAAAGACCACAAACATATTTAACCCTTAAAAATTTCAACATGTCAGGTGTACTTAAGTTTCATTCTCCTCCTTGTTCATTTATAGCGAAAAGGAAGATATGAGAAATGACCTTTAACTTAATGATGAGTAGAGACAATTTTTATTCGCTATAAATCAAAATTTCCATAACACTTCAACTGAACGCGCTGCCTGACATGTCAGGAAGACTTTCGACACAAGGAGCACGTCTTTTACTCGAACCACGACTCTGATACCACTGATGGATCAATGGGCAAGCATTCACATTAATTTAAGCACTCATCTAAAACTCAAAGACTCAACCAAACAAGTGAAAGAGACACCACATATTCATCTAAAACCTTAAGATAATATGTGTATGGATCATCTTACTTATAAAGTGTTCAACTTTCATTTTTCTAAACAATGTGGGACTTAGAACCCTAAATTGATATAGAAAATAAGCATCCATAAATATCATCTCCATATCTCAAATATGTAAATCCGTATATTGAATAAAAAACAATTAGTTTTGGGCGTTGTTCATTTATAGCGAAAAGGAAGAGTTATGGAAATTTTGATTCGAAGGTGTACTCAAGTTTCAATCTACAATGGAGATCTGGTTGTCATTATGAGGCATTTATGTTCTTCGTAGGACAACAACAATTAACAACTAAATAGTCATAATTGAGGAGCATCTTCACAATTTTAAAAAACAATGAGCCATAATTGAGACACAAAAATAAGACTTTTTAACACTTGAAGTGATTTTGAAGAATACTATTAAGTGGAAGAAAATTTAGAAAACATTATTTTTTGTTGTTTTAACTTATTTAGTGTTCAAACTGTTTTAATATTACCTTGTAACAGATGAAATGTTACCTTTGGTTTTTTGTTATTTTGTAGTTGTAAAATTACCTTTTTTAGTTTATACCAGTTGAATTTTAATGGTATGTTTATACCTTGTTTTCATGTATACTAGTTTTTGAGAAGTTTGTAATGTTTATACCAATTAGACTATGTATACCAATTTATGTTTATATAAGGTATACCAGTTTATACCAGGCTATGTATAGCAGTTTATGCTAACCAGTTTTAGCGTTTATGTTTATACCAAGTATACCAAACATTGAAATCACAAACAAAACTTATTAACATTCAAAAAGCACATTGTTTTGTTCATAAACATACAAAAAAACCTACTTGCAACAGAACATAACTTCGTTCCAACAGACATACAAAATGAAAAATACTTATTGCAACATACATAATTCACAAAACATTAAACAAAAATAAAGTAAATTGTATTTTTTTGGAGTAGTCATTTATTGGTGTTGTCCTCCTTATAGTTGTTCCAACTGCATTCTTTGTTGCACTTAATTTTGTAGCGCGGCCTGAGGATACACATGTTGTTGGTGCCCTTCTAACATCCAACTTCGTTGACCTTTCTTGACTTTCTTGAGTTTGATGACCTACTTGGTTTGCATCTTTAACCGCTTAACCGCTTATGTTTGACTTGCCATCATCAGTTGTCATTATTTAGACAAAGATTGTCATCATCAAAAGTAAAATAGTTGTCCTTGATAAAAACATATCACCTGTAAAACAAGTTTCCACAAGGATGGCCGAAGTGATTGATGAATGATAATGAGTAAGGTCCAGGTTAGTTTTACTGGACCCTAAGGTGTGCGCCAATTGTACTCGTTTGAACCCTACAATAAGGGCAACCTTGTATATTGAGGGTTACAAGTGCTGTTTTGGGGGTTGTTTATGGTGCTTAGAGCAAGTTGATGCATAGTGATGAAAAGCTTTGTATATATAGTTTTTTGGTGAATGAATTCATCCTCTTTCTCAACTTTAGAGTTGAGGTATTTATAGAGGTCTCTTGGACTTGGATCTTTGGACCCATGAAATGGGTATTATGCTCCTCTTTTAGAATGTGAGATGTGAAAACTGTTATTCTTTCTATTACTCTAGAGAACGTGGTTTCTTTGATTGATTTAATTTTTCATAAAGCTAGTGCATAAGGACATGTCACTCTACACATTTTATAAGTGTGTGAAGGATGGTCTGACCTAAGCCCAATAAGGAGCGAATGATGCGACCAATGAATGAGTGTTATGACCAATAAACGGCTAAATACCTAACTTTAGGCAACATATTGTGCAAACTTCGTATTCGTTTGACACCAATAATTCTGACTTGTCTTACCTTCCTTTGTTATTTTCTCTTATGCACAACAAAATCATCCCCATAATAAACATATTTTTAAGAAGTATACTTCTAAGAAATCCACCTTTATTGTAACATCAATGTTCTTGACTAAAATAACTTATTTGGTAAGACATTCTATATAGTTTCAGAATGACTAATTCGCCTTGATAGTGTCGCTTGAAAATTGATATGTACACTCTTTGAATCATGGAGTGGGTTTAACCCATTTCATAATATATACTATTGATTCTTTTTCTTTAACTTTATATATTTTATGAACATTTTTTTAATTCAATATATTGAGTTCTAAACGCTTCAATTTTTACACTTGAAAGTTTTATAATTAAATAAAGGGAAATGCATAGTTTTCCCCTAACTATTTTTAACTAACACGCCTCTTAACAATAACAGAATACCCACACACAAGAATTAAGACTCAAACCTAACTACACGTTTTAATTTCTCATCACTTGAGCTCCTATTTGCTTATACTTTTCAATTATATACTATATTGAATGATATTTTTGGGTACAATTATATATTCAATGGTAAAAGTCACCATCTTTATCAAAAGAAAACGATGTTTAAAGGATGAAATAAACTGTACTCTAATTCGGCAAAAGCATTCACCATAAACGACATGAAATATCTAATTCTTTTGGATGTTTTTGACTGGTAAACCGGTTTTGGATATCGATGCTTTTGGAAAATAACAAGAGTAAGGAAACAAGTAGCTTAATTTTATAAAAATTGCAAGAAAAAAATGATAATTAAATAGGGAAATAGAAAATTGAGTAGAATAAAAATATATAGATTTCAAAACTTTGTTCATGGTCAAACTTAAACCATGAAGTGAAGTACGGGAAGGGACATAAAGCATAAACATAATTGTTTATATACAAATCTAATTTAGTAGCTATTTAATAACAAACAAATCAACCCTAATTAATTGCAATGAATTAGTAGCTAC